CTTCAGATAACAGTGAATATGACGCAGGAGACTCTACAAAAGGTAATGAGATGCTCCTCAGCCAGAGGAACGTGGCTTGAACTGCATCGCATATATGATGGGGCTATGGAGGCTAAAACAAATGCTCTTTGTATGGAGTTCTCCAGTTATAGGAGAAAAAGTAGAGATGATATGGCTTCTCATGTTTCAAATCTGAAAACATTATGGAATAGTTTGCAGAATGAAATTAGCCAAGCAGATAGTCAGGTCTTACTTCTGGTTACAGCGAATATGACGCAAGAGAATCTACAAAAGGTAATGAGATGCTCCTCAGCCAAGGAAACGTGGCTTGAACTGCATCGCATATATGATGGGGCTATGGAGGCTAAAACGTATGGTCTTTGTATGGAGTTCTCCAGTTAAAGGAGAAAAAGTAGAGATGATATGGCTTCTCATGTTTCAAATCTGAAAACAATATGGAATAGTTTGCAGAATGAAATTAGCCAAGCAGTTCTCCAGTTAAAGTAAAAAAAGTAGAGATGATATGGCTTCTCATGTTTCAAATCTGAAAACAATATGGAATAGTTTACAGAATGAAATTAGCCAAGCAGACAGTCAGGTCTAACTTCTGATAACAGTTAATATGACGCAGGAGACTTTACAAAAGGTAATGAGATGCTCCTCAGCCAGGGAAACGTGGCTTGAACTGCATCGCATATGATGGGGCTATGGAGGCTAAAACGTATAGTCTTTGTATGAAGTTCTCCAGTTATAGGAGAAAAAGTAGAGATGATATGGCTTCTCATGTTTCAAATCTGAAAACATTATGGAATAGTTTGCAGAATGAAATTAGCCAAGCAGACAGTCAGTTCTAACTTCTGATAACAGTGAATATGACGCAGGAGACCTTACAAAAGGTAATAAGATGCTCCTCAGCCAGGAAAACGTGGCTTGAACTGCATCGCATATATGATAGGACTATGGAGGCTAAAACGTATGGTCTTTGTATGGAGTTCTCCAGTTATAGGAGAAAAAGTAGAGATGATATGGTTTCTCATGTTTCAAATCTGAAAACATTATGGAATAGTTTTCAGAATGAAAAAAGCAAAGAAAAGTTTGTTTTAGGTAATAAATTTAGTTGGTGAATTGCCTGATTTGCTGTTGATTTGTAAGATTCTTGGAACTTAGTAAGAGTTTTTTTCTTGTGGTTGGATATTGTTGATGAAATCTTAACGAACCGTTGATAATTCAACAACTCAGCTTTGTGCATTTGAAAAAGCTTTGTCGACAGACAGAGATGTCAAATCAAATGTCACTATTGTAAGAAAATTGGCCATGTGATAAGACAGGGTTACAAATGGATTGTAGATATTTCAGAAATTCAAAAAGACACAAACACTGCGGTTTTGGTTACAATGACAACAACAATTTTGTTTCAAGTTGCTGAGACGGAATACTAGTATGTTAATGATGTAGCAACTAATCACATTTGCATTTATTCAAAAATTATGATACTTTTCATGAAGATCATGATGTTGTGGAAACAGAATAGAAGAATCGCGTATGGGAACTATTGAAGTAGAGGCTTTTGTTAATGGAGTAACTTCCAGAGTAATTCTAGTTGATGTCTGGTATGTTCCTGAAATACAGAAAAACCTTTTTTCTCTTTTATCAGCCCAGGATAAAAATGCAGATATTGTATTTGTTTCAATAATTGAAGAATATCATATGAAAATCAAGGAGTTGTTATGTTAACTGATCAACAGACAAAACATGGCGGTCTATCCCAGCTTCAATTGAGAAGTATTATCCCATCGAAAAACGAAGTGAATACAATCGAGTCGAGAATTTTATAACAATTGTGGCATGAGTGTTTTGGGCATCAGAATAAAAGATTTGTTGAAGATATTTTCGAAAGAGAACTGAGAATAAAAGTTTCTTCGTAAAGTGAAATTTGTGAGGGATGCATATATTGAAAATCTCATGTCCTAAAATTTGGATCGCGAGAAAGGGCAAGTGAACCAGGAGAACGTATTCACTCAGATGTCTGTGGACCCTTTGCGCCATCTAACACAGGATGTAGGTACAATATACACAGTTTAAAGATGATTTCAGTAGATTTAGATAACTGTATTTTATGAATCATGTCAGAAGTTGTGAGTCATCTGAGAACAGTTCTATCTCAGATAAGAACATCAACAGGAGATAAAGTAAAGGAGATTCTAATAGATAATGGGGGAGAATACATTGATCAAAATGTGAAAGAACTTTGTATTAAATATCGCATCAATTTGCGACTGATAATGCCATACGCACCTCATTCGAATGGAAGTGCTGAACGCGGAAATCGAACTCTTGATGACTCGTTAGTTAGTGCATGCTAAAGACGAATTAGCTAAAGATACATCAGGTTTCGAAAATAAATGATGAAAATAATACACCTGGTATAGCAGTTTTTCCGTTTGATGTCCCTTTTGAAACCGCTAAAGCTACAGAAGAATGTGAAAAATTACAAGAGAATAACGAAGACAGCAACATAAATGAAAATGAACGTCAGCAAAGTGTTAACATACAATTAGAACAACAGAATGACAACTTAATAAATGATGAAGAAATTGATGATGTAGAGACTGTTACCTCGAAGTTTTATGAATCTAAAGCAGAAGATCGGCCTGCAAATGAAAGACAAATACGTGATAGACGTGATGAAAACAACAAAAGTTTGAAGATTTTATCATGGCTGCTACTTCAAATGTTTAAGAAATTCAGGAGCCACTGAGCTACAAAGAAGCTATGCAGAGTAAAAATAAAATTGATTGGGTTGAAGCAATGAAGAGAGAAATGCAATCTCATCATGAGAATGGCACATGGGTTCTCGAAAATTTGCCACATGATAGAAAGGCAATTCCATGTAAATGGGTTTTCAAGACAAATCTAGATGATTTAGTTGAAAAATAGAAAGCACGTCTCGTAATCAAGGGGTTTTCTCAAAAGATAGGTGAAGATTATGATGAGACTCTCATCCCTGTAGCAAATTTGGCTTCTATTAGGGCAGTCATAAGTGTCGCAGCAATCCAAAATGACAATCTGGATGAAGAAATTTTTATGAAGCAATCAGAGGGGTATGAAGATAATGCTGACAAAGTTTGTGGATTAAAGAAAAGTCTTTATGGGCTCAAGTAAGCACCCCGTTGCTGGAATAAACTATTTGTGGATGTTTTAAAAAGTATGGGATTCAAGACACCTGATGCAGATCCATGTGCTTTCATCAAGAAACAAGGAAACGTTTCATTATTATTGTCAATCTATGTAGATGATGGATTGCTAGCTTCAAGTAGTGATGTTTTTGAAAAATGAGTTTTTCAGAAGTATGGAAAAGGAATTTGAACTTTCTATAAAGCCAGCTTCGTATGTTCTTGCTTTAGAAATTGAACAAAATACCGAAGAAGTTATAGTTAGTCAAAAAGCTTATGCTCAAAAACTATTAAAAATATTCCGAATGGACAAATGTAATTCTGTCACTACACTTATACTAAAAGAAGCCTTAAACCTTAAAATAACGTCACCAGAAAATGACATTCTATATGTATAGAGAAGGTGTTGGGGCTCTTATGTAGGTACTTGATGTGTGGGAGTCGTCCGGATTTGGCATATGCTCTCAGTGTAGTTTTTAGGAAACTTGATAAACCAAATAATGATGTATATGTTAAACTCAAACGAATTTTGAGATACATTAAGGGAACTCTAAACTATTGGATAAAATATCGGTGAAGTAATATGGGATTTAACATGTAAATAAGTACAGTTGCTCAATTGATTGATGCAGTTGTACCTATCATTAATTGAACGCAAATATAATAAACTTCTTTATTCATATACCTAATAAAGCCTATTAGCTACGCCAAACCATAAATTATTGTTTGCCCAGACATTTTTCTAATTAGCCTCAGTTATTTACTGTCTCAACCTTTTATCTCAACTATATAACAGTAGCGAATTTATTTAATAGACTAATCGGCTGGAATAAATTGGCTTCAAGACAATAATATATTGATGGTGTGACGAAATCGTTGAGTAGAAAAATTAAGGTAGGAGGCTTGAAACAATACAACAGATGGTAAGTTTAAAAGCTTTAAGAGAAATTGCTATGTACAATAATCAAGAAATGGCAAAACAATTTCTTTTTTTTTTTCATGCCTGACCATTTATCGAATACATACATATCCAATCAATTAAATGTCATTACTAAGAAACCACAACCGTTTTTGTGTCATCCATCCATAAAAGTTGCGTTTGAAATATTCATTCGACACTCTTGCGACTGATTTCTCACGATTTCTTATGCATTTATTATCCATATTGGTTTTGTACAATTTCCTTATTCAAACACATTTCATTCTCCTTATAAAAAAAATTGGTATGTGCTCACATGATAAAACTATATTCTCAAGAACAATGGAATTTTTGCCATATACATATTAGTTGGGCTATATTTGTTTTATTACTGAGGAAGCTTAAAAATAGCTTCAGCGTAAACTTTAACTGTCGATTAAGGTTTGCTTTGAGTAGTTTCTGCATCAAGCATTGGGATATTGAAATCGTGGAGCAATTTACTGCGGAACATTGAAATGTTTAACAGAATTGGACATATGAGCCAATATGGTAAGTAATACTAAAACTTCCCTGTTATCAGTAGGCGAGGGGCAGTTGTAATAAAATGAATATATGAACGGCACATTTCTTGAAGTAAATTAGAGAGGATTGATTCTGATCTGATTCAAACTTATAAATTTGAAGATGTAAAGTTTAAAAATTTTTCCTGTATTAGTTTTCCAGGAAAACTTTGAAATGTGGGAGACTGTATTTGCAATAAATTCAGTTATTGTTATTACCTAGAAGAAACTTTTTTAAATTAATAGAATAAACTCCAAATTGGATCAGGAGAAAGCTCAGTACAGATTTTTGGATCCAACACCTTTTTTGAGCAGCTAATTTTACTTAACATGAAAATTCTCACTTACGTTTCATGAAACTCCGGTGACTTGGTGACATTCCTGAACTGTCCCGGCGGAGACAAACTTTCCGAATCGGAATAGGGACTAGTAATCACGGAATTCGATTTGAACGTTACTTTTTCAGGACTTCTTCTGATTGTGCCTTCTGTGAAGCTTCTCTTCATGGGATCATACCTGCAAATAATTCACATATAGTTGTATTATTTAATATTTGTTTCATAAGTAATTTTACCTTTTCCTTTCATCTCTATAATACTCCTCTTTAAACTCCCTTTTTACAGGCTGAGCATTTAGCGCACTTTGCGTAAAAATATCGTCGATAGGGTCGCGTTCCTTATTTTTCCTTTGCGGTATTGGAGAATACGAGTACTTCCCCAAAGTTGAATAGTGAGAGTTGTAGTTTTGGGTAGGCTCGTTTTGGAAATTCGGTACTGGCTTGTTTGCCGGATAAACGCCGGTCTGAACCTGAAATGTTAATAGTTTGTAATTCAAATGCAACAAGGCTCATTAACCAGTTATCCGGCACCCATTAAAAGAGTAATTGAGAATTTAACTATGCGAATTGCAAATCGTTTGAGTGCCGCTTAGCGCCCAAATGCAGCAACATTTAATTTTACGATTAGTTTTTTTCTTTTTCTTTAGTGGCGCCAAGATTATTTATTCTATAGTATTAATGCCTGTAAAATCCATTTGCATAATACATAAAGACATTATCTTAAAAATATCTATTTTATATTTTCGTCACTTTCTAGTGACTTCATACATTTTACTGGAAAAATTCTGTTTACGACTTCCAATAAACAGTGAGAATGATACAATACAAAATGTGTGGGCGAGAAATTTATGCCGTGCCGTATCAGTAATCTGTTGTACCTTAAAAAATGTATTTATATCAGGTGAAGGTCAGATTGAAAAGTACTTTATTATCCAATCTCGATTGCTGTTATTTCATTGATTGATAAAAAGTGTAATAAGGTGATTAAACAAACACATTCATAATAATGTTTACCCGAGCTTAATGATTCAGGAAATTATTCATTGAAGACGAATTTTTCATAATAATTATCATCAAGTGAATAATAGCGACCATATGACCGATTAGTCTGTATGTTTGAATGCGAAGAAGTCACTGAATATCATCTTATTACCAGTGATAAGACAGAGCAGAAAATATAATGCAAAACGATGTCAGATAACAGATCTAAGTCTCAATGGATATTGGGAGAATTTATGAAATAGAAATCAGAAAATGAGGAAAAGCAAACAAATTTGAAAAAATAAATGAAATAAATCTTCAAATCTAATCTAAGAACGGGTTTGATTATTCTCCCAGACTTTGTCCGTCTTTGTTCGGAGTAACTTAGGGAAACTCGATCTTATTTGTTCGATCGGTGGTTCTGTTAGAGTTTCTGGTTGACCATTTGAAGTTTCTTCGACTAGTGATTGATTATGCTCCTGATTTTCTGGACTGGGCGTCACAACTATTTCGTTATTATTTATGTTGAAATCAGCTTTTGCTTTATGAACTTGATTACTATTTCTTTTTTTTTCTTTACCGTCTGATGTTCGTGAGAATACTGACTTTTTTGTTTGATTATCAACTTTTGTTATGGTTGCACCTTCCCATTGTCTGTTGGGAAGTTGTACTCTAACAGAATCTCCTATTTTATAGTAATGGGGTTGAGTAGCATGTCTGTCTGCATAATCTTTTGCTTCTTCTCTCATTCTTTTCAATTCATTTGTGACATCTTTTACAATATTTGGTTTCAACTTTTCACTGTTTGCTGGAAGTAATGTCCTGGTAATTCTGCTAAAAAGTCTTTGGAACCCAAATGGATATCTTGTCGTCTGTACGTTTGTTTAACAGATTTTTCGCCTTTTGAACACCTCTCTCCGATAAACCATTGCTTCTTGGATGATACCGAGGGGGATTTCATTGTGGTAATTTAGTGTACACAATAGTGGTAATTAGTGGAAATTTTATGGGAAATGAGTGGTAATGACTGGAAATTAGGGGAAATATAGTGGTATTTAGTGGAAATATATGGTAATTAGTGGAAATATAGTGGTAATTCGGGGAAATTTTTGGTAATTTAAGGCAATTTAAGGAAATTTTTGGGGTAATTTAAGGAAATTTTGTGGTAATAACTCGAAGTTCTGTAGTGATAAAATTATGATATGCCTTTGAATTTGCTTTAATTTAGGAGTAACAGAGCTTCAACTAAACTATTCAACTAAGCTTTAAGTAAAATATTCTTCTGAGTCCCTATTAGTCAGTTAGAAACATCAACTTTTATTTTCTAAGGAATGTTTCATTTGAGGTTTCATTACATGAGAAGTGGCAACCTTGCAATAGTTCAACACTTGGTTCGACATCATCTATGAGCATTGTTTTTACTACTCATTTTGAAACTTTCAAGGCCTCGTTTCATTTAAGGTCCAGTTTTGTGTTTCAGTGTTTTTAAATCTGAAAGAGAAAGTAGAGAGAATGCATTCTTGTTATATTAAGCCTCCATCACACATTCGGCAAATAGCTACAAATATTTGGCTGTTTGTGTTCTCGTCTCTCTGTTTCTCTAGTTTCAATTTTCTAGATTTTCACCTATCCTAGATGGATGCCAAATACCGAGCCAAATACGCAAATATTTGTGAGGAACTTTACAGACTTTTGAGGTGTATGTATTAATTTTGACTGCAAAGGCGTGTAAAATTTCGTATTTTTTCATATTTTCGTCTTCTAGATGGAATCCGAAATAAAGTCCAAATGTTCTGAAGTCGCTGTTCAACTTGATTCCGAACTCGGTTCCAATCGTTTACGTTTTTGGTGGATTTACATTTCCAAGGATCTTCTCTTTGAGATTTGGCGAGCGGAGCGAGCAATCGGAGACTAAAGAATAATTTAAATTTCAAGATCCCATAACTTGGAGTTTGTACTCGTGTTCTTACTAACCACGTTGAAAGTTATTGGTCGTTTTTCAAGCAATAATAGGTACTTAAGGAGGTTAGGAGTAATGCAGTCTCCCTTTCTTGTGGATTATATCAACCAATTTATTTGGTCTCCAATTGGTAGGGAATTTTCGTAGTTGATTTTTGAAAGGTGTTCAATTTTGATTGAAATTTTCTGATGGAAAATATGCATTTTGCGCATTAATAGCTTAAACGTTTCTGTTTGATGGAATCTTTCCCAAAAAAAAATATATATATACAGGGTCTCACGAGGTTTTTCCCAAATGATAACTTCGGAACGCATCATCATATGTTCCATTGTATAATTTATTATCATTTTCTTTGACAAAGCCTTAACAAATATGGCATTGCCGATTTTGTAATCTAATTTTCTAAAGAAAAAGGCCATAATATACCATAAGTTACATTTAAGATTCGAAAGATGACGTCACTTGATCGAAATCGAAATTGAAGCGAAACTGGTGAAATTGGACGAAAATGGTAGAAGCGGCACAAAAAGTTACCCAGATCCTCAAAATTTCAATGGGGAACTTGCAAGTGAACTAAAATTTTCCAAATTTGTTTTAAATCGATAGTTTATGCTGCACAATATTCATATGACCAGTTTTTATTTAACTGATACCGCCCTTGTTACATAAAAAATAGTAGATTATACCACGAGTCAATAATGATAGCTATTATTCCCGAGGATTATTACGAACTGAGCCGCGTTAGCGGCGAGGGAGTAACATTCCGAGGGACTAATAGCCATTATTGCGAGTAGTATACTCTACTTTATTTAGGACAAATTAATTTATTTGAGATTTTCAATGAACAAATTTCATCCGTCTCATAATTTTCAATAGAAATCCACAAGCATTACACGTTTGACACTGACACTTTTGTGGAATAATGACCATTAATCCCGCTACTTGTCATTAATCCCTGGAGGAATAACATATGTCATTATACTGCAAAAATCACAAATATAATACGCACATTATACATTAGTCGTAAATAAATTATATTAAATTTGAAATAAAAATTTTCCCGCCAAAACAATGCTTCTATGATGGATACCTGTTTTGACGTCACGATTCTGTAAACAAACCCGTCAATAGGGAAATCTGTGAAAGGGAACTTGCACGTTAAAAAAATACAAAAGCAGTCCTTCACAATATTCTTCATCCATTGCGACAATTTTCATAAAAAGCAAACTTTAACACACTTGAATAACACAAAAATAGCACTGCGTCAGCAGGAGTTTGTTTGCTGCGTATTTGATGTTTACAAAATCTCAACGTCACAAGCGCTGTCAAATTGGGATTTCGTGTTTTCGCGCCAAAGTATTTGATTTGAATTTCAATAATTTTTTTTTCGTACAACGTATAAATTAAAATGGAAAAAAAGAAAACTATGTAATAACTGATCACTAGAAGAAGTATCTAAAAAAAAATAATTTGAGAAATATGAAAATTCCCTACAGAAACGTCGTGGGACACCCTGTATAAATGCCGTTTTTATTTGGACGGCACTATAGACCCGAAAATCGTTAACTGTGATTTTAAACCACCGAAATTGGGGGTTTATTTTAACAGCAGTTTAGAGGTACCTACTTAAACAAGGATTAACTTGCGGTGCAAGTGAGATAAACTATTGTCAAAACTGGAAAGTGATGTTGAATTTTTTTTTTAATATCCCTTAAATTTCATATTCCCAAGTCTAGTCGAGATAATGTTATGAAATAATTTACTTATTAATTTTTTTTATTGCAAAACAGTTTTTTCATGGATTTGATTTCAATATAAAAATGAAAAAGTGTTTTTTAGAGAAAGTAATGATGACTAAATTTTTTTTTTGTATGCACTTATTCTAATTTTTTTTCGAACTTTGATATTATTTTTTTTTTCTTGTCGCCACTTTGTTATAGGTATCGAAATATAAGGTAATAAATAGAATATTTAGAAAGTTTTCTCCACTAACCAATTATTACATATTATTTTAGAAGAAGCAAGGTCGCTAAAATAATACCCCCAATAATACCTAAGCAGCTTGAAGGGGGTGTGACCCAAAAATGGTAAAATGTTAAAGTTTTAGTACAAAAAAATCTAAGAATAAGTATTCAAACCGCATTTTGCTACGATGGTCCGTTTTCGAGTTATGGCGGTTTAAAGTTACAAATAGGTGTTTGTGACGTCACACTGGATTATCAGGGACAGTATTAGCACGTATAAAAATTTCCCAAAACAAAAGACAATTATCTCCTAGGGCGAATTGAAACCACTCAAAGTATAGGTACGGTTCACTGACGACTGAACGAACAAAAGACTCCGATTTCGGCGGTTGTGACATCACAAGTTCCTGCATCTTCACGAGAGATCTTAGAATTTTTTGCTTGATTTAGGTAGCTTAAGTCGTTTTTTAGGGTCACACCCCCTTTTTAATGTAGGTACACAATTATATTTGTTATTGAGTTCTAAATATCAGGTATACTTGAAAATTAAAATAGATTTGTGGTA